CTTAAGGATGCTGTAGATGCACAAGTTCCTCTACGGCAACCTGATAGCCGACTCCTACGTGATGCTGCTGGACAAGATCAAAGTGTTAGTGGAAACCTACGGGATCTCTACAGAGAGCCAGGTCGTGATAATAATGTAGTTGGTGCTGGAATCCAGCCTGAAGTTCCCTCAGATCTACCTCCTCGTGGTCCCGTATATGATCCTAGGACAGCTAGTCGTACAAGGTCACAGTCACCGTCAGGACCAAGGGCGTTTCTGCAAGGACTACTAGGTCTAGCTGGTGCAAGAGAACCACAGGGACAAGGATGCAGTGATCAGTGTGGAGCAGGGTTTCGTAGCGACTCAGGTGTACCAGTACCTCCTCAACTTCCATTTCTACATCAACCTTCACTTTCAACTCCACAAGCAAATCCATACCAACATCCACCAAAGACAGGAGATCCTGGTCAAGCTGCAGGCCGTCAAGAAGGCGATGTACTGCTCACCTTGGCGCGAGGAATCGAGGCGCTACTACAACAAAGCCAGAGTGGTCGAAGTGACAGGCCGGAGACTGTAAAACCCGGCATCAGTGAACTTCCCGCATTACCAGATTACCAGCCGGCCACAGGCTCTATCGACCTCCTTAACTGGATCACCCACATCGGCCCGATCATGGAGGACCTGTCGGACACGAGCTTGGCATGGTGGGAGGCGACGATGAATGATGTGCTCCGATGGTACCGGTCTTATAGCACGTCAGCTCCACTTGCTCGGTTACAACTTCGACCACAACCTTCATCACCACTGAAGCCGGAGTGGGCTAGGGTGGAGAGGCGCGCAACAGCGATGCTGCTCAGTGCTGTTCCCAAACAAGTGAGAGATGAGGTTATTTCCCATGGAGAAGTTACGTCGTTGACGTTGTTGTGCAAGCTCTATGCAGTTTATCAACCTGGGAATTTGCAGGAGAAGTCGTTGATCCTCAAGATGCTCGAGCAGCCCGACGAGTGCCAGACTGCTTTGGCTGCGGTGGAAGCACTTCGGAAGTGGAACCTTTGGCGGAGGCGAGCGGCCTCAGTTGGGATAGCTGAGCCGGATGCCTCGATACTGCTTCGTGGTCTAGATCGCATCACGGGTGCAGTGGTGCGCGGGAGTGGAGAGCTCTCATTCAGAGTGAGTTTGATCCGGAGCACGTTGCAGATAGACGTGTGCCCCAGCCCGAGCAGTATTACCTCGTTCGTGCAGCACTTGCAGGCCGAGATGGAGCAGCAGGCTAGGTTGGGAGCGACAAGGCCAGTGACTGAAGAGAATGCAGCAATGAGGGTTTTGGGACCTTCTAAAGAACAATCAACTACCTCATCTACTACACCTCAACATACAACTACAACCCCACCTACAACTCCCAAGCCACCTTCCAATCTATGTCGATTCTTTGCCTCAGACAAGGGATGTCGCCGTGGCAACAGCTGCAGGTACCCCCATACTTGGAGTTTGGTGGATAAGGGCTCGCGGCAAAAGAAGTGCCTTAACTGTGGGGCGCAGGGTCATCGCGCCAAGGAGTGCAAGGCTCCCGGAGGTGGTTCCGCGTCTCAAAAAGGGTCTTCGAAGGGAGATACCGTTGGGGCCAGTGACACCGGTGCTACCTCCTCTTCGACCCCCACTTCGGAGGCCTCACGTCGTGTGAACTTTGACGTTGCGGATGTCCAGGCCAAGGTCATCCGCGTCCTGAGCGAGCTAGAGAACTTGCCGTGCCTAGGCCCTACTGTGGCTTCCCTTGGAGCCTGGGGACGAAGTAAGATCTTTGGGGTGAACAGCGGAAGACGAGCTCTACTTGACTCCGGGGCCACGCATCCGCTCAGACACCCGCGTGACGATGGTGAATGGAGCAACGCTCAGGATGTGAGCGTACAGCTTGCAGGTGACGCCCGCACACAGATGAAACAGACCATCGCGGGCACTTTGTTGAGTACCGATGATCTTTCACAAGTCATAGTCCCCTTGGGGAAAGTAATCGCCAATCTTGGATACCGGCTCCACTGGACAGCGCAGGCGTGTCAACTTGTCGGATCCAACGACGAGATCTTACCGTTGGAAATAAGAAATGGATGTCCCGAGATCGGCGAGAAAACCGCGCACTATCTCATCGAGCAGCTGGAGCAGCAGCAGCTTGCCGAGCTGGACAGTACCACCCAGACAAGCTTGCGGGCTCTGACGAAACTGAAGGCAAGCTGGTGGTCCTATCTCCAGGAATATGTGAAAGAAGGCGATGTGGAGCAAGCCCGCGCAGCGGTTGACAAGGCGGTCTTCTTTGACTACAAGTACGATATCAAAGACCGTCTGATAATCCCACGATCAGAGCGATCCGTGTGGGATCTCTTGAAAGACATCTCTGTGAATAGACGGGCGAGAAAGCGGTTGTTGAGGGCGGCCGCTTGGATAGTGAGATGGGATCCCCCCACAGTCGAGCGATTCAAGGACCCGCTGAAGCATCTTTCGTACTTTGGGGACCGGGTGTATGTGAATGTCAACGCCATGGTCGTGGATAATGACTTCGAGGATGTTTGGAAGGTGCTTCATTGGGCAGCTGTCAGT